CACTGGATTCCATTTCTGATATTCTGTCCTGATCATGTCTTCCCGCTGCGTCAAGTGCTCCTGAGGGAAAAGGGACATTCACCATCACATTGCAAAAGTATTTGACCCTAGTGCATTGCATCCTAAATAATTACATTTGACAAATGTCTTCTATCGCTGTGCTAAATGGACTGGGATTTACTCTCCCCACTGTTCAGGAAATATAAATTCCTGGTTTCCATGTATTTCTTTTTCTTTAATTGCACAGGCAATAGAGCCCTAAGCATTTTCACCTATAGGAGATCCAGAGGTGCCTGAAGAAAAGGTAATGATTGATAATTCATGTGTTCACTCAAATGTGAACCTCTGTATGTAGTCATTAGGACTCATGGTGCAAGACATAGCCTAATCCAGTGTGCTGAACTGTCATGTCAGCAATTCACTCACTGGTTTCAGATAACTTTGCTGCTCAGCCAGACCATTCTTTCCACGTGTCCAATTATATCTTGCACTCAGAATGAGGCCAGCAGAAAATGATTTCCTAGTAACATGTCCCATGGTTTTTACCAAAATCTTTCATAAAAATTTTTCAAAATTATTGGCCTCAACCAGATTTTAAGCATAAATCTCATACTCACTCTGAACTGAGTTATCATACTGTCCTCTGCCTCTAAATTCTTCTGATTTTCATCTATCTTCTCCCATAAAGATGCCATTTTTTTTAAAAGTTTCTCCTGTAAGGAATAATGAATATCAATGTTCAATAAACAGTGCTCATACACAGCCTGTAAGGCAACAAGTAAAATTACTAAGGGAGAGTCAAAGGAGCACAGTGTTCTTTTTTACTTTTGATAATGATGAATGTTAGGCTTTGGAACAGTGAACATATCATACACGTATGCTCAAAAGGTAATTAATAATTACGACTAATCATGGATAATATGAATAGCATTGGATTTCACAGGTGCTTCTCTCTCAGTTTGGCTACAAGGTACTTTTATGTTTTCATCTTTTGCCATAAGACACTTTGTTGGGGTGGGAGAGTTGAGACAGGGTTTCTTCCCTGGCTTTGGAGGCTGCCCTGGAA